CAGTAGAGCGACTTCACGAGGTGGTAGCCAGAAGCACCTGGCAACGCGCAGCGATGCACCAGACGCCAAAGCAAGTCTGGGCCCACAGAAATCAGCTAACGGAGTAACAAGTATAGGTAGCGTATCGAGTTGCGGTACGGCAGCTCAACTTGTACCACGAAGGCAAGAAACATGACAGCAGTTGCAGAAAACTAGCAGCATGTCAAGGGCAAAAGGAAACGATGGAGCACATCTTCTGGGAGTGCTCCTGCGCCCAGGCTTGTTGGGTGAAGCTCATCCAGCAGTGGACTGGGGAAGCATGGGAGCCCCAAAACATCGAAAACGTCCTATTGAGCTGCGCGAACAGGAAATCGCCTCCCGTATCGCCCTCATTAGTGGAGAAGATGCAGAAAACATACCCGGACGACATTAAGCACATCATACTGGAATGGAAACGCATCTGGCATATCCTGTGCACAATTTGCCTTACCAGCCTGTGGACACAGCGCAACAGGGTCGTCTTTCAACAAGCCCAGGTGACAGAGGATTCCAGTGCGACAGAATTTTGGGGGACGGCAATGCGTCAGCTGAGAGCGCTGGGGAAACGTGAATGCCGACAACCGGAGACTCAATTGCGAGGAACTCATTTACTTCTATGCCTGCGGGTACTAGAACAAAAACCACGAGAGCACCCAAGACAGCGGGTGAGCCCCGTACAACCACCGGACTCGCAAGAGGAACCGGCGTTGCTAACCAGGCTTAGGAAATACCAGACAGCTAGTCGTCGTTAAGACCAAATAGAATGTCTGCCTCTCTCTTTCTCAACGATGGCGTGCGTGAGGTCTCATCTTGGCAGTCAAACAGGCACATGTTTGACGAGCCTTTACGATGACACGAATCATGCTGCAGATTACATTTTCCAATTTGCATGGAGGCATCAGCATTGGCTGCTAAGTCACTACAGGTACAGTACAAACCGCTAAGAGGTTCAGCGTTGGTCTCTTCGACGGATTGACAAAGCTTACAAGGAGGGAGCATTGACGGTGAGCCAGGGATTTCGCTGATCCGAAGAGACCAACTGTGACGGAGTCACACAGCACCTTGCGCTAGAGGAAGTTATCTTCCGAGAGTATACAAACTCTCAGTGAACGGCAGTTCACAGGTCCCCTCTTTAATTAAAGAGAGCGAAGTGACCTAAATAAGGTAGATTGTAAACTGAGTATATTTATAGGTAGGTTAAGTTTGAGGTTAATACAAACTATCAGTTACCTATAGAAATGCAATGTCATTTAACCAATGGTTGGTTTTTAATGACCTTGGTACCTTGTACCAAATATCCCGGAGTATGACATGTCATACTCCTGAAGTGTGAAGTGTCACACTTCATGTAACCAGGGTACACTTAGTGCTACGTACCCCGTTACATCCTCCCCCACTTAGGTTCGGTTTACCGACCAATCAGAATGAAGAGATGTTCGTCACAAACTCTCATTCTCAAAGTCGAAAACCATCGACTCGGCCGCGCGAGCGCGGCGGAGGCTCACTTTACAGTTAGAGCCTCGAGCAGCAACCTGTGCGCTCTTCGTCAAGGTCTCCACTTCGACCGTTAACATGCCTCGTGGCACTGCTAAGAGCGGTGCTAAGACACGCTCCAAGGCTGCAGCCGGTAAGGCGCAGGCCAAGAGCACTAAGCCTCACGGCAAAGGCTCTGCACTTAAGGAGGCTACTCAGGTGGCCTCCGAGGCGATCGGATCCTCGGGTGACGCGGCTGCGGACAAGCGCGCAAGCAGGCGCCGCAGTCCGTCGCCCTCGTCTTCAGACAATCGTCCGAACCCTCGGTTCGTAGAACGTGAGTTCAACTCGGGCAGTGAGGACGATGCCGAGTCCGAGAGCACTCATGATGCT